GAGATAAAAGCAGAAATACAGAGTCCGTGGTGATGGTCCAAAGTGATGGTGGACCCTTAATGAGGAAAAGCTCTGAAGAAGACGAGTACATCTCCTGAAATGCATTTTTTTTTTCACTAAGGGTCCACCGTTTTTTTTCACCGTCACCGTCTTTATCTTTGTTTTTATTTTCCCTTTGGTTTGTGAGTATGCGTTTTTATGCTTTTTTCTAATTTTTTTTTGTTTTTTTTTTTTTGTAATGCACGTTGCATAGATGTGCCTGTACACCCGACTGAAAAGTCAAACAACCTACTGTGTCATTAATCCAAAAAAATAAAACAAATGTTTCATGCAGATCTCACTTGAACTGTTGGTGTGGTAATAAACAGTGCCATCATCCCTAAACAACAACATATGGAATGAGCCCTCTTTTTTGTGGGATTTTAAAAGCTCATAGAGACAAAAAAGGTTTTTTCATTCAACCAATCCTTGGTCTGATTTTCCATTTCTTTTTATCTCACCTTTGGCAAAGGTTTTTTACAAGATCTGAAAATCTTCATTAACGAGCCTAGTGGCACCCCCTTTGGCAGCTCCCGGGAGCAGCCTGGGCAGTTTTTTCTATATTGACCTTGTTTGGGAGAATGTGGGAGACGGCGACAGTAAATACCCTTTGATTTTAAAATTGTAGCAGTTTCTCTCCATCAGTCATCTTATGCTGGGTATATTGTGTTGTATTTAGGCACTTTTGAAGAAGAAACTCTATTTGTGTCTCAAAACACATCAAGTGCCCTAACATGGCATGAACCCTGCTTCCAAAACTTCTTTTATTTAATGTGATTTTTGATTTATATAAACCGTATGACCGCCTTTTCCTGTCATATGATTTTAAATAGTTTTTTGTATTAATAAAATTGACAAACTATTTTTTAAAAAAAATTTTTTTTTTTTACCTCTATGTGCATTTAAAATCCCACAAAAAAGAGGGCTCATTTCATATGTTGTTGTTTAGGGATGATGGAACTACTCATCACCACACCAACAATTCCTGAGAGATCTTTTTTTTGTTTTGTTTTACTTCTGATTAATTCTTCAAATTCATAATTATGTTTTGTCATATTTTTATTTTTTTTTTTGATTCATTTCTGGAATTTGTTCTTATATTCATTTTTTTTTTATATATTTGTTATTTTTTTGAATAAATTTGAATTTCAAAATATGAATTTTGAAATTTGAATTTCAGAAGATGGCTATATTCATTCTATTCTTTTCAATTTTAATCTATTTCTTTTGTTTTCTATTCTTTTTTTTACTCCTTTCTATTTTTTTTTTTTTCTCTTCTTTTTTTTATTCTTTTTTTTATTCTATTTATTCCTTTATTTTTTTATTTTTTTTTATTTTTTTTTACTCTGTTTATTTTTTTTCTCTTCCTGTTTTATTCTATTTTGCTGTATTCTATTTTTTCTAATAAATTTTTTTATTTTTTTTAAAATATTGTGATATAAAAAAAGTGTTTTGTCTCTACGTGCCTTTAAAATCCTAAGAAAAAATGAGGGCTCATTTCCATTTTTTGTTGTTTAGGGATGATGGCACTACTCATCACCACACCATCAATTCTTGAGAGATGTGTATGAAGGAACCATTTTTTTGTTTTCACTTCAGATTAATTCATCAAATTCATAATTTGTTTTTTTAATAATTTGTTTTTTTTTTTGATTAGTTTTAGGAATTCATTCTTTTATTTTTTTTTGTTTTTTTTTATATTTGTTATTTTAAAATAAATCTGAATTTCAGAATGTGAATTTCAAAATTTGAATTTTAAGATGGCTATATTCCTTCTATTTTATTTTATTCTTTTCGATTATAATTTTATTCTATTTTTTTCTATTCTATTTTACTCTTTTTTTGTTTATTGATATTCTTTCTTTTTTATGCTATTTTGTTTTATTCTATTCCTTTTTTTTATTCTATTTTTTCTCTTCTACTCTATTTGTTTATGTTATTTTTATTTTCATTCTATTTTTTTTATTCTGTTTTATCATATTATATTCTGTTTTTGTTGTATTCTATTTGATTATAATTTTTTGACTCAACATATTTTTACACAAAATACTTTTTTTTCTCTATGTGCCTTTAAAATCCTATGAAAAAAGAGGGCTCATTCCATTTTTTGTTGTTTAGGGATTATGGTACTACTCATCACCACACTGACAATTCTCGAGAGATGTGCATTTTTTTTTTGTTTTGTTTCAGTTTTTTTTAATTCATCAAATTTTTTTTTCTCATATTTTTTTTTTAGGATGATTAGCTTTAGGAATTCGTTCTTATATTGGGTTTGTTTGATATTTTTTAATATTTTCAAATAAATTTGAACTCCAAAATATGAATTTCCAAATTCGAATTTTTTATGGCTATTTTTGTTTTTTTTTTTTTTTTCTTTTTTTTTTAATCTATTATATTTTTTTTTTTTCTATTTTACTCCTTTCTATTTTTTTTTTTTATATTTTTTTTTTTTTTTTTTTTTTTTTTATTTTTTTTTTTTTTTTTTTTTTTTTTTTTTTTTTTTTTTTTTTTTTTTTTTTTTTTCTTTTTCTTTTTTTATTTTTTTTTTTTTTTTTCTATTCTTTTCTATTCTGTTTTTTCCCATTCTATTCCATTGTATTTTATTTGATTCTGATTTTTTTACTTAAGCCCGCTTTCAAAAATGTATTTAACCATTAGCCGCCCGGCCTATAGCCGTTTGGGAGGCCGCAAAAATGCTCTAGCTTTCCGGGGTGTACGCCATCTGGCGTCCTCCCGCACATGCGCAGTTTGCACGGTTGCAGAGCAGCGCAGCGGCGCGATCTGTCACCGGCCGTGTACCTCGGACACGGCTGATGACAGATCTGAATACCGGCCCCCATTGCCGGTACCATGTGACCTGCTGTGACCAATCACAGCAGGTCACATGACAGTTGTACACAATGGATGGCTTCATTCATGCCATCCATTGTATACTAGTGCCTAGCTGTGAATGGTCACAGCAGGTCACATGCACATGTCATGTGATTAGCTGTGGCCAAATCACAGCTAAGCACAAAAAAAAAAAAAAACCTGAATGAATCGATGTCATTCAAGTAAATGCTTGCTTATAGCAAAGTAATTCTTTGCTATAAGCAAATTGTGTAAAAAAAAAATACCGATCACTTCCCCAAAGTAGTACAATGTTACTATGGTAACATTGTACTACTTTGGTCATAGTAAAATATGAAAAAAAATCTTTAAAAAAATTTAAAAAAATGTAATAAAAAATTAAAAATAATAAAAAAAAAAAAAAATATATATATTTTTTTTTTTTTACTGTCACCAGTCAGTATCCTGTTCACCGCCATGCCAGTTATGTGATGATGCTGTACTGCACTGGTGACAGTATGTAAAAAAAAAAATAGTGAAAATAATTTTTTTAATTTTTTCATTTTCCGAAAAATGAAAAAAAAAATACAACTTCAAAAAACTCGCCATTCCTCTTCCGAAGTACGTCGGACTGTCTACTCTGCAAAAAGGGGTCATTTGGGGGATATCTGTACTATTCTGACATTCTTGGACCTCAAGAAATTAGATTGGCTGTCAGTACTTCAGGATTGATCAATTTTCAGATCTATACCATAGTTTTGTGAACTCTATAACTTTCCTACAAACTAAATAATACATCCTAATTTGGGTTATTTTTTCACCAAAGACATGTAGCAGAATACATCCCGGCCTAAATTTATGAAGAACAATTATTTATTTGTAAACTTTTATAACAGAAACAAAGAAAAATGTGGGTTTTTTTTTTTTCAAAATGTTTGGTCTTTTTTTTGTTAATTTAGCAAAAAATAAAAACCCCAGCAGTGATTAAATACCACCAAAAAAAACCTCTAGTTGTGTGAAGAAAATGATAAAATTTTAGTTTGGGTACAATGTTGTATGACCGCGCAATTGTCATTCAAAGTGTGAGAGCGCTGAAACATGAAAAATGGCCTGGGCAGGAAGGGGTAAAATTGCCAGGTATTGAAATGGTTAATGTGGTTTTTGATTGATATAAAATTTTTTTTTATCTGACCGCCTTTTTCCTGTCATATGATTTTAAAACATTTTTTGTATTAATAAAATTGATTTAAAATATATTTTTCACAAAAAAACTTTTTTTGTCTCTATGTGCCTTTAAAATCCTCTGAAAAAAAAAAAGAGCTCATTCCATATGTTCATGCACATCTCTAATCTTTATAATGATTTCTCTCACTGCTCTTTTACATTTCTGTTTAGTAAATATCTCCTAATAGACATCAATGTCCTCGACGGATTACAGTTCAAACATGAGAGTCCTCAGAATCATAGACGGAAGGGTTCCTAGGCATTCATGCTTTTTAGGCACATGTAACTGCAGTTAACCGTTCATAGGGCTCTCGTTCGCACTTATGTTTTACATTTACTTAATTATGGACAGACTGTCAGACTCTTTATGTGCAGAAGTCTCATTAAATTACACCTGTCAGGAGAGAATTATGTAAACTGTCATCACTAATCTTTCCTTTTCAAAATGTTAGTACCCCGGCTGTCATCCTGATGTTTTGGTCACTGACCTGGAACAAGTAGGGAGATAAGGAACTCTTTTCTGACATTCATTGATAGCATGCTTGCTTTGGATCTGTGATTCAAAAGTACTGAAGCCAAACATAGCTAGGCGAATTGGATTTTCTTTCTTTTATGACAGGTACACTTTAAAGAAGACAAGGTGAAGAGAAAGGGTGCAGGAGTTTTCTCTTCTTTCTCTCTCTTCTCCTCATCTTCTGGGTGTTCAAGCTGGAGCTCTTCAGAGAATCACTCTTATGTTCATTTCATATTACTGATTAATTCCCTATGAGTTTGTACCTAAATTCAACTGCATTCACTTGGGACAGTTCTGCCATTTGGACTTGAGGACTATTATTTTTGAGTAGTGTATTTTTGAGTGCTTAATTTCTTTATGTATATTTCTTGTAAACTTTAAAGTGGATCTTCACCCTGCCCCCACCCCCCATTTTCTTCACCCCCTGCTTATCTTGCTCGCAGTCCTGCACTGTTAAGTTACTCACCTGCTCAGCAGATCCAGTGCTGTCCTGCTGAGATCCTCTTCTCTTCTGTCCCCGATAAGTCCAACACGCAGGGGCGGACTGACAACTCATGGGGCCCCCGAGCAATAGGGGAACATGGGGCCCCTGTGTCCTTGCCCAAGCTCAGAAAAGCCTATGAAAAAGGTACCAGGGGCATCTCATGGGGCCCCCAGGCAATAGGGGATCATAGGGCCCCTGTGTCCTTGCCCAAACTCAAAAAAGCCTATGAAAAAGGTACTACCAGGGGCATCTCATGGGGCCCCTACTGACCCCAGGCCCTCAGGCAGAGCCCGAGTTTCCAAATGGTGAGTCCACCCCTGCTGACACCACCATCTTCTTTTGTGAAGCCACTGGGAAGCTGACAGCTCTGGCTGGTTTATAAGGTGGCTCTCTGATGTCATGCCGCTAAACCCGCCCCCATCTCTTTTCTCCATGAAAGTCTAAGCCTCCTGGGATATGTGATGTAGACATCTCTGGAGGCAGAGCAGGCAAAGTGCAAGTCAGTCACCTAGGTGAATGATGTGCATGAAGGGGGGGGGGGGGGTTAGGCTAGACTTTAAATTTAAAAAAAGTAAACAAAGAAAAAAAAAGCCCATTTTGTGCAGCGGAGGGGAGGAGGGGTGGATGCAAGGCAACATGCAATTCAAGGTGAAGATCCACTTTCAAGAAGATCTAGAAGATCTATTACCACATTTTTTATCTTACTGATCTGTCTCCTTTGGGACAAAGTACACATACTATAACACTTTTCCTGTGTTTTTATGTTTTTCTAACCCCAGTCATGACATCCAACTTGTCCCCCACCTCTTACTGCGGCCAATCCAACAACAGCTATGAAAGAGATGGCTGATTCATAGATGCAGCTTGTCTCGGCTGTGAGCACTTTCCTGAGACATGAAATGGCAAGAAGAATAGAGACTGATACACCTATCTGCATTCCTCTTGACAATACTTGTCTCCGAAAAGTGTTCACAGCTGAGACAAGTTGCAGTTATGAATCAGCCATCTCCAAGATAGTTGTTGTCAGACCAGCCATGGCAGAACCTTTGGGGGGGGGGGGGGCAGGTCAGACCTCTTAACTAGGTTTAGAAAGCACTTAGAAACATGGGGCAAATGAATTCATGCATATTATGAATGAGGTCCGACTTCCCCTTCCCCCTTCTGCTGTCAATTCAACAACAGCTATCAAGGAGATGGCTGATACAAAGATGCAGCTTGTTTCAGTTATACACATTCTAGAGACAAAAAATGGCAAGAAGAATGCAGAGACTGACATACCCCCTCTCTCTGCATTCCTCTTGCCATTGCTGGAAGGAAAGCTGCAGCTATGAATCATCCATGACCACGGCAGGAGCGGGAGGGGGCAGGCAGGGTCCGTGCTTCCACTAGGCAAACTAGGCAGCTGCCTAGGGTGTACTGCCACCTAGGGGTGCCTGGGCACCGTACAGGCCAGCACTCTCTCTGTGTGGGACACCACCATGTCATGAGAGGGGAGAAAGAAAGGAAAGAGGAAGATACCGGTTGTCTGGGGCCAGTGTAGCAGCTGAGATGCCACTCCTTCCAGTGTTCCTCTCAGACTCATTTACTTACTGCAAGCCAGCTGGCAGCTGCTGAGCACTGTGGAATTCCAACCCTTCTCTTCATATTCATCAGCGGAGTCGGAGCTGTGCCTGTGGAGGAGGTAATGTCTGACTCTGATGTCTCGTGTCTGTGTGAGTGTGACCTGGCTGACCATCCATCACATGTGCAATGTGTCAGTGAGTCATGACATCATCATGATCCCACAGCCTGATTTTCTAGTGCCTGCTGATCTGTGTCAGTGTTGGTGGTGGTGTGTTGTGTGTAGGATCTATCACTGTGTGGGATCGCTCAGTTCAGGTGTTCTCTCTGCTGTCATAGCATTTTATCTCCCCCCATTGACTGGGGAATTCCAGCCTATGATCTGTCAGAGTGTGGATCCATCAACTTCCACTCACTACAACTGCTACCCTGTTACTGCCAGCCACAGATACAGTCCATCCATGACACTGATTTTGTCTGTAATATTGGTGCTGGTGGCATCTTATGGCACTTATTTTTGCAAATTAAAAGAAATTTAGCAGTCTCAGGTTTTCTTGATTTATAATTTTCTGTTTTTTAAAAATTGTATTTTTTTTTTTTTTGGAGGGGGGTACGTAGCTGGTCTTACCTAGGGCACAAGATAGTCTAGCACCGGTCCTGGGGGCAGGGTGGATCTCATAACTAGGGTCAGAAAGCAGTTAGAAACAATGGACAAATGACTACATGTACATTGTCCCATAGAGGAAAGAACTGTAAAATGAACATTATAATGACAGATCTTCCTAAAAATGTGAATCATCTGAGAGAAAAAGAAAGCGTTTTACTGTACCAAACTTCCTGAAATCACCATTGTAGGCAATAAGATAAAATAATGAACAAAACCAATGCAGTCCTCAATTTTACAAAAAAAAAAAAAAACCACACACACCACACCACAGTTTACATAAATTGTAACAATGTATATGATTCAGAATGATTTCCTTTAAAAATTACTGAGGTTTTATATCCATCAATGTAATTTGTCCTGGTTTGTTCTATGTGTTACTTGACCTACAGAGGGTCTTGCTGAATTCGCCCACCAGTGACCAGAGGTGCTCAGTAAAAGGAGAAATTATAAAAAAAAACAAAAAACTCCAAGTAATCATTCTGAGTTGTGCTGCTGCCTCTGTGTATAATGCTGCAAAAGGCACTGGCCTTACATACCTTCCATAGATACTGTAAGCACTATTTATTCTCTTTTGTTATTTAAAAGCTTTTTCCCATTTAACATGTTTTGTTAGAACATCCTTGAATATACAGTAGGTAGAATTACACTCTGTTCTTTCATAAAGTGCTATTTTTTTTGTTATGGCATTATAAGTAAAACCGTATGTGTTTTCCTTATTAAACCACTTGGAATTGACATTGGACATCCACTTGTCTATACTGTTATTAGAGCTACAAATCACTTCCTGCTGTGGTCCATGAATGCGGTTCCTTGTCATACACAGAAAATAGTGTTGTTCTCCTATCATCTTCAAAGAAACAGGAGAAAAAGTTTGCTATCAAATAGGGCGAAAAAACCCCCCAGAAAACTTTTGTACCTTGTATAACTTTGACAGATTTTCTGATACACTCCCAGTTGACACGAAACATTGAGATTGTGCTTTCTCAATCCACTAAAGGTTCTATTACATGGATCTGTTGAAATTGCCAAAGGCACTTTTGGAATTGCCAAAGGCCAACTTTTTGTGCATGCAAAAGTCAATTCACATGGATTATTGCACAGGAGTTTGCTTCTAAAAACATTACTAGTTCCCACTAGACAATGACACTTGTATGTCTCTATAGAATGTCTATTGAGGAGAACAAAAAAAAAAGCCCTCTGAGAAAATAACGACGCATGATATACAATACATGTTTGCGAGAGATGACAGTAGGTTCATATTTATTTCATGTGGAAAGATAACAACTTCAAACCAATGACATTTTTTTGTGAATTAAAATACTTTGAGGTGAAAACTAAAATGAGATAAAATAAGGAACCTATGCAAAGTAAATCATGCAGCTTTGTGGCTAATTCAATAGGCAGCAAAGAGTGCAACAAGAGGGAGCCTAGTAAACTAACCAGTCAATAAACAGAAACCATCTTATATCTCTTTCTAAGCTGAATTGCAACAAATACTTATATAATAAACAAGCCTGCTCCGCTCCACAGGAACAATTCTAGTGAACCCTAAAGCTGTACAACTGCTATCATTCAAATTCTTAATGGGCCAATTTACAGTCCTTCAGACTTTAGGGAGGCCAGACTGTGGCCATTTGGAGTAGAAAATTGCCCTGGCTTCAGTGGAAGTAAACAGTGCATCTTTGGCATTAGGGGGGAATAGTGCCCCATCATTGGTGTCAGTGTGAGGAATAGTGCCCCATCATTGTTGTCAGTAGAAGGAATAGTGCCCCATCATCGGTGTTAGTGGATGGAATAGTGCCCCATTATTGACGTCAGGGGGAGGAATAGTGCCCCATTATTGATGTCAGTGGGAGGAATAGTGCCCCATTATTGATGTCAGTGGGAGGAATATTGCCACATCATTGGTGTCAGTGGGAGAAATAATGCCCCATCATTGGTGTCAGTGGGAGGACTAGTGCCCCATTATTGATTTCAGTGGGAGGGATAATGCCCCATTATTGGTGTCAGTGATTGGAATAGTGTCCCATTATTGATGTCAGTGGGAGGAATAGTGCCCCATCATTGGTATCAATGGGAGGAAAATTGCCCCATATTTGGTGTCAGTGGGAGAAATAATGCCCCATCATTGGTATCAGTGGTAGAAATAGTGCTCTGTCTTTAGTGTCAGTGGGATGAATAGTGCCCCATCATTGGTGTCTGTGGGAGGAATATTGCCCCATCATTGGTGTCAGTGGGAAAAATAATTCCCTATAATTGGTGTCAGTGGTAGGTATAGTGCCCTGTCAGTGGTGTCAGTGGGAGAAATAGTGCCCCATCATTGGTGTCAGTGGGAGGAATAGTGCCCCATTATTGATTTCAGTGGGAGGAATAGTGCCCCATCATTGGTGTCAGTGATAGGAATAGTTATGATTAAGCATGAGATCGCGTGACATGCGTTAACAGGTCCTGTATTCATGTCCTGGTGTTTTGTGTGTCCTATGGATCAATAAATATACACTATATTCATCTATCCTCTGGTGTGCGGCTGACCCTTCTTCCTATTGCCCCAATATTGATGTCAGTGGGAGGAATAGTGTCCCATCATTGGTATCATTGGGAGGAATATTGCTCCATATTTGGTGTCAGTGGGAGAAATAATGCTCTGTCTTTGGTGTCAGTGGAAGGAATAGTGCCCCATCATTGGTGTCAGTGGGAGGAATATTGCCCTATCTTTGGTGTCAATGGGAAGAATATTGCCCCATCATTGGTGTCAGTGGGAGAAATAATTCCCTATAATTGGTGTCAGTGGTAGATATAGTGCTCTGTCATTGGTGTCAGTGGGAAAAATAGTGCCCCAT